TATGTCCCGTATGTGTAAGGGAAGAGTGATGAAAAGTCTTGGACCTTAGATGTTGATTGAATTCTTTCTCAGCATCCCTATTTAAATAAAACAGGTACTGTGCAAGAAATAAATGAAAAGGCTTTATCCTGAAGTAATTTTTTGGTTCTTTTAAGATGCTGGTTTGTACTTTTATATTATGAAGAAGTTTTAAAGGTGAGAAGTTGAAATTCCAGGTTCACCTGAAACAGATGGAAAAGGTTTAATGACTGAACCTGAAATAGAGTGATCATTTCCTCTTTGAATCAGAGTATCTCAGGATAATATTCTCCACTTTAGAAATTTATGCCTTTGAGACTTGAATAGCGATCATTTTTCTCTGTTGACACTCCAGAAATATGTCTTTATATGCAAGCGCACCAATGCTTGTGGAGCAGACAACTGGAGCCTCCTACCTACAACTTTGACCCTTCTGCTTCCATGGTGACCCTTAAATGATCTTAACCACCCAGTAGTGCATGAACATGATATAGTTATATAAATTTTCCCAGAGGAAACCTTACTTTTGTCCATAAGAAGCTATTTTGGAACTTTTTTTTTTTTTAATTTGATCTCACTTTGTTATTAACATTTTACCTTAGGATAGCTAATTACATTCCTCTTTGCCAAGCATTGATGATTCTAGTTTTGATTGTGGAATATTAGAATCATCCCTATTTTCATTGTAATATCAAAGTCGTAGTTGATATGTATTCAGCACAGATGAGTGCCTGAGGGACACCAACCACTTTCAAAACTTTCTAATTAATTTGTATTTCTTCGCAAACAGTAGCACGTGTTTCCTCTTCTTTGCTGTGTTGGTAAAAAGCCTTTCTGAGATATTCCTGGTGTTTGGAAAGAACATTGCAGAATGATGTTGACGAGATTGTGTGATATATGTAAGGCATGGATGAAAGTTAGGGAACTGTGATCAAGTCACTGTAAACAATACCACCTCACGTACACCTCTACGTGGCCAATCCAGCAGCTATGGTCCTACAGCATCCACATGGCCAAAGACCAGGCAGAAAACCAAGGGGGGTGTATTCATCATTCCAAGTAAATGACTTGGCAAACTATAGCCCCATATATGAGGGATAAATGAATGTAACATCGGCAAAATCAGTAACATTGCCTGTAATTCCATCATATACTGGGGGAAAAATACATAGTAGTAATAATGGGACACACATTAATACCTTGCCTATAAAGAAATAGTAATATTGTACACTGAAGGGGATAAATATATGGTACTGTACATTAGCAAATGAGTCAGCTAGTTTTGCCCATTTGTTTAGAAGGGAGAGTGTTGTACAGTCTTGGGCCCTTAGTATTCATAAAATGGTCTCTTAATGTAACTTTTGCACCTCTGCTTTTCAATGGAGCTATTTTACACTTCCTGCCGTGCCTTCTTGTCTCATGTGGAGTTATTTCGTTATGCAGATTTGGAACGAGTCCCTGTAATCTTTTCTGTGTAAATTATTGTACATCTCTCTAGCTTGTACTTAATGAATATAGATATAAAAATTTTAAGCAGTTCCAGTAATTTTGATGTTTTACCGAGTGGATTTGAACAGTAATAAAATTTCTGCATTTCTCCCTCAATGTGTGATGTGTTACACACTCCTGAGCTTCAGATCAACTTCATGTCTCGTTGCCAAGTTCATTGACCAGATACATCTGCACAGTCTTCCTTCACTCCTTGTTTACTATTTTCCTCTCACTACCTCAACTCCTTTATTTACATTATTCAAATTAGAGGGCAGATTGTACTACTGTACTTTTTTCTGGGGAAGCCCCTAAGGCTCCCCGGAGGTATCCCATGGCTGATATGGATACCCTAACTACTGTATTTTGCATAAGTCGATGTGGGGTGGACTTCTACGCCAACAGTAGATAAAAGGAAGGAGGTGTAAGTGGAGATGTGTCTGTCCAGTCTGGCCTCTCTCTGCTGACTGGACACCACGTAGGTCCCTTCATACTATACTCACTTGATGCTTTTCACAAAATTAGGAGAGAAAATTTTACCATTTCAGTCGCTTGCAACACATCGCTTTATCATATTCCATAGTCAAAATGAAGAATGCATAATAAATGGGTGTGTCAATGATGAGGGGGATGTATTAGGGGGGTTAGGAAGTCAGCTAGCCTATATTTTTTTTTTTGTCTGGCGTGTTGAATGAAACTCCTCCAAGTCTGGCCTTCTCCTTCCTGCTGCCTCAATACACCCTGTGGATGGTGTCAGTGGTGGGGGATGGTGTCAGTGGTGGGGGGATGGTGTCAGTGGTGGGGGGATGGTGTCAGTGGTGGGGGGATGGTGTCAGTGGTGGGGGGATGGCCTTACCTTTAAAGAACACAATAAAGTAGCCATTACAACTGCAAGAAAAATGACAGGTTGGATAACAAGAACTTTTCACACTAGAGATGCTATACCAATGATGATACTTTTCAAAATGCTTTTGCGCTCTAGAGTGGATTACTGCTGCACAATGACAGCCCCTTTCAAAGCTGGAGAAATTGCTGACCTGGAGAGTGTGCAGAGATCTGCACACTCTCGTCTCTTCGGTGGTGGTATGCTTCGTCTCGGTGGCGGTATGGGGTTTTCTGGCGGTCATTCTTTTTCTTTTTCTCTTCGTTGGTGTACTGCGCTCTTTGTTGTCGTGGTCTTGTCCTTCTCTCATGGTGGTTCAAGGTCGTTTTTCTGGCTGCATACCGTCGCCCTGTCTCGTGCGGTGCTGGCGGAGCCGCTTCGGATTGCTCCGGTCTTGTTGTTCCCTCTGCTGCATTCACAGGTTGTCTCGAGCATTGTTTGCCTCCGGCCTGCTCCTGCTCCACCAGAGCTGTCCTGCTCTGGGGCATGGTGCTCTTTTCTCTCTTCCCTTTGGTTTGTTGTGGCCCCTTTGGTTCCAGTGGAGTCCCTGGGGTTGTTGTTCCTTGGTTGGTTGGCCGGGATGCTTCTTCTTGTGTCCGGTTGCAGCTCTCAGCTGTTCTTTGCGCACCCCGGCCTATGTGGCCAGGCTGCGCTTTGAGTTGATCCAGTTTCCCTTCCCTGTTCTCGGATTCGGGTCTCTCCGGTCGTCCGCCAGGTTCTTCTGTCTAGCCAGCCTGCAGTTTTTCCCCGTTCCTTTGACGTTTGTAGGTTTGCTGCACTTGCTGCCGTCTTTGGTGGCATGTCTTGGGCTGACATTCGGGCACAGGGTGCTTTTGGCAGTCACGCCGGGTCCTGGCTGTGCGCTCCCTTATGTCTGTTCCTGGGCCTAATTGGGCCTCTGTCGTCTTGGGTCGGCTGTTGCTGCCTGTTGTTTCGACTTCGTGTTGTGGTGTGAGCACCAACCACCTCCCGGATGCGTCCCTCTGTTTTCGTCTTTGGTGAAATAGCTCCGAGGAGCCGTAGGGGCTCCCCCCAGAAAACCAACGTTGAATGTAATGAAACGCCATTTTTGGGGCAAGTCCCGGAGGCTCCCCGGCAACCCTCCCTCCGGTCGGCGATCTTTCGCGTTTTTTGATATCCAGTCTCGGAATTGGGGTGAGGATCGCCACCGCGAGGGTCTGGGCTACCTCCTTTCCCATCCCGGGGAGGGGGGAGCTGCGCAGACATGTGGCGCGGCTCGTGTTACATCATACTTGTGTGCTCATTTTTCTTTTGGAGAGTTCTGTCCACTCGTATGACGATTTTCGTTGTTAACCAGAACAGGGGTTTGTTTTGTGGCGCTTACCTTTCTGGGTGCCTGTCCCAGTCGATGGCAGATATAGAATGCTCCAAATCACATGTGCATTTCTATGGGCCATTGCTCCTCGTGCCTCTGTGAGGGGGGGGGCAACGTACTGCCTCATGGTCCCCGGTAGGCCTAGAACTCCACCCACATCGACTGATGCAAAATAGTTAGGATATCCATATCAGCCATGGATAGCTCCAGGGAGCCTCCGGGACTTACCCAGAAAATGGCGTTTCATTACATTCAACGCTGTTTGTTTTTTTTGTACTCCTGGGTCCTTCTGGTGAATATAACTATTTCGTCTGGCATCCTATTTTCTTCTGAGAACTTTTTGTTTCTCACTTTTTTCACTCTTACATTTCCATAATTTCAAGACTGTATCACTTTCTTGGCAATATGTTGTCATCTTATCACCAATTTAATTTGGTTTGCTATATGTGTGTTTGTTGGTACACACTGTACATCAGGGATGTCAAACTGAGGGTCCCCTTGGGGACCCTCAGTTTGACATCCCTGGGTCACATTTGGGTCACATTTCTGTGACCCAAATGATCATATGAAATGATCATATGGTATGTGACACCATATGGGTCACATTTATGTTACCCTGAGAGTGACTCACGACAACTAATTGAAGTCATTTAATAAAAATTATCACAGAATATTTTTTCTATTTTATTATATGATATTCCAAATTTCAGTTTCCTTTTTTTTTTATGGGCTACAGGGGTGCTTTCAAAAGGCCGCATGCGGTCCGCATGTTTGACACGACTGCCGTACATGACAACTCACAAAGAGTGCTAGTGTTGCTGTAGAGGATTTCCTAGTGTCTGATGGTGCTGGGTCCTTGTGATGGAAGGTAGTTTAAATACCTAATTGTGTGTGTGAAGTGAAGATATACTCACTAAAATATATCATGTTTTAATATCTTTGTCCTTTTCCTATACAGTTTTCCCTGTCATGAAAATTGACATTACCTATACAGGTCATGCTTTTTCTGCAGGCCTGATCATCATGGGTAAAGATAAAGATGATTGCTGTATTTTAACTAATACTGTACATTAATTCTCTCTGGAATTTTCTCATTGATATAACACGATAATGTGATTTCTCTGTGTATTAATTCTCTTATTATCAACAATTTACCAGTTATTACCTACAGCATGGTGTGGTTGTGCAGAAATGTATAGTGCTCTGTAAATGTTGCTTATTGAACTAATGACTTTTTAACAACAATTAACTGCTCCTGGTATCATTGGTTAACAGATTACATTGAGGACATCTGCCCATATGCAACCTTCCAGCTGCCAGCAGTGCCAAAGAGTCACTATGGGGAGAGTACAGACTCAGGCATTGTCTACTCTGGACCATATCACTCTGTCCAAGGTGCTTTTGTGTATCATGATCCCAAGAGGACCACATTAGAGACTTTTCCATTAAGACATGTGAGTTTTTAACATGCATTTGATACTGCATGTGAAAAAGGTAATAACAGTAGATTTATGTAACTTTTTGGGGGGGAGTTCCGTTGGCTCCTCGGAGCTACCCAGGCTGATATGTAAGTATTAGCTTTCTGGTATCAAAGTGCATGGAGTTCTTGCCTACTGGGGACCACGAGCCAGAACCTGACCCCATCAGAGAGGCACGAGGAGCAATGGCCTATAGAAACTCCTGTGTGGTTGGGAGCATTCTATGTCTGCCATCGACCGGGTCTGGCACCCAGAAAGATAGGTGCCCCAAAACAAACCCCTATTCTGGTGAAAATATTGCTACCGGAAGCCGAACGAGTGGACAGAACTCCACAACGAAAATTAGCAAACGAACATGACGTCATTACGTTGCTGCGCAGCTGTCTGCTCAACCCCTTCCCCTCCCCGGGAGGGGGAAGGGGAGCCCTAGACTCTCGTGTCGGCAATCCCACCAACAGTTCTTGGCTGATGTGATACTGGCAAGTCAGGTGCCTTTGGCTCCAGTTTTGCTTCGTTACTGTGCCTTGTGGCATAGTCTGTCTCTACAGGTGATGCGTGAGCCAAGAGTAATATTCTACGGTACTTGGGCTGCATGCGCCTAGGGTTTCCTTCCCTAGGTGCCCAGTAAGTACTGCCCTTGGGGCTTGGAGCCATCTTCCACAAGTCACCTTGGGAGTCTACCTCCACTGTGTCTTTTACTACTTGGTACTTGGCCGCCCTTGGAGCCAGCGGGGGCTTGTTGCCCTTGTTTGCCTCTGGGTAGGAGGTAGCTTTCATCACTGGTAGGGGTGCTCGGTACTGCACAGCTAGTTATCACCTATTTTAAAACCTGGCTCTGTTCCTCCTGGGAACGTTGTCCCCTTCCGGAGTTTTCCTTTTGTTTTTGTTTTTCTGCCTGGTGGGGGGGGGGGGAGTCTGCCTTTGGTCTGATGCTCCCTCTTTATATTTAGGGTCCTCTTATATATATAAGTGTGTTTTTGGTGGTATCCCCCCTGCTTGACCCCCCCGTGAGTGACACGTCCCGGGGGTTCAGCGTTAGAAGTTTACTTGGTAGTTTTGGGCGCCAGTTTGCAGTACCCTGCCTGGGCTTCCCTTAGCGTGTTACCAAGGCTAAGGGCCCTGGGAAACCTCGCGGGGGCTCTATGGTTCGATGGATGTGACCCTTGAGTCCCCCCCTCGCTTCATGCCAAGTTGATGGTTGCTCTGTTCCTTTGTCTCAGGGTGACATTCACCGGTTGTGCCTCCTCCATGCTGCCTGTAGGGTCAGCTATTCTTTTGACCCAGAGTCAGCCGATGTTTGTTGTTGGTAAGTGCTCCAGTTCACCCTCGCTACTGATCATGATCTGAGGGTGCATGCAGCAGCTGCGTTGTGTGCTAGGTTATGGTTGCTGCAATGCAATGGATTGGTTGCTTTGCCGGATGCCCCGAGACTGCCCCATTTTGGTTTTAGGGACACGGATAAAGGGTGGGAGTCGCTTCGACTTTGGGACCTTCCGCCCTTCCTTCCCCTTCTGTTGTGTGTCCGCCCCCCCCCCCCTGCTTCCGGCTCTGACCTGTCAGCGGGTTTGGAGGTGAGGCAGGGTCTAGTTGGTGTTGTGACTCGGGTGGTTTTGAGGGTGTCCCCTTCCTGGGTGGCGGTGGAGGCATTTGTGCCTGTTCCTCCAGCTAATGCATATTGATCTTACCAGTGGGCCCCCCTTCCTTAGTGATTTTACAGCTGCTCCCGGCTTTTTCTTGCGAGGACGAGGCTTTGGGGGGATGGCTCGGCTCCGGGGCCATGGTGTAGGGTTCCCAGGGCATGGGGAGAGGGTGGACTTGGAGGCCCCTGGGCCCCATTGGACCCCGCCTGGGTTTTTGTACCCTTGGAGCGAGGCTTGAGTCACAAGGAGTGGGGTTTTCTTTTGCTCCCTCCTTGTATGTATTGGATTGGTATCTACCCCTCCCCGGGTTCCGTTCCTTGATCCCGTGTGTTCCTCAGTCCCATCCTTCCGGAGGTTTTCAGCTTCCTGCGTCCCATCACATGTGGTGTGGATAGTCCTTGCAGCTTACCTCCTGCGCAACCCGGGTTTTTGTTTGTGTATGATCTTCGTGTCTGTCCTGGGTTCGTTATGCAGTTCTGGAGTCGTCCTAGTTAACTTAATTGAAGTTATGACAACCATGGGGAGTAGACCTTCAAAACCTGTCCAGATTCTCGGTAGAGGAGATTTCAGCAAATTCAACTTCAATAATAAACAGATAAACTGGGAGCAAATAAACCAGGACTTCACAGAAATAAACTGGGAAGAACAGCTAGAAAATGCAAACCTGAACCAGTGCCTGGAAAAAATAAGCTCAGTAGCACTAGAAATATGTTCAAACCGCATTCCTCTAAGAAAAAAGAGGAAGAGATGCAGATTGGAACGGGAACGTCGTTCTCTATATAGGCGAAGAAAACGAATCGCGGAACAACTTGAGAGTCGCACCCTATCTCAAGAACGGCGAAGAAGGTTAGGTAGAGAAATAGAAACAATTGAACGGAAGCTACAAGAATCATACAAAACCCAGGAGAGGCAAAGAGAGCAAAAGGCCATCAGTGAAATAGAAAGAAATCCGAAATATTTTTTCTCCTATGCAAAATCAAGATCAAAAACCACATCTAGTATCGGGCCCCTGCGAAAGGGAGATGGAACTTTCACCGATGACAACAAAGAAATGAGCGAGTTACTGAGGACGCAGTATGACTCTGTTTTCAGCGAGCCATTAAACAGACTAAAGATTGATAATCCAAATGAATTTTTCATGGATACGATACCAACATCAAATCATATATCAGACGTCACCCTATCCCCACTGGATTTTGAAGAAGCCATAAACAGTATGCCTATGCACTCTGCACCAGGCCCGGATTCTTGGAACTCCATATTTATAAAGAACTGTAAAAAACCACTATCGCAGGCCCTCCACATTCTGTGGAGACAAAGCCTAGATACTGGCGTTATTCCTGATATACTAAAAACAGCAGAGATAGCACCAGTTCATAAAGGAGGAAATAAGGCAGAGGCAAAAAATTACAGACCGATAGCACTAACATCGCACATCATAAAAATTTTTGAGAGAGTGCTAAGAAGTAAAATCACAAAATACATGGAATCACAGCAACTCCATAACCCCGGACAACATGGTTTCAGAACAGGGCGCTCTTGCCTGTCGCAGTTGCTGGACCACTATGATATGGCATTAGATGCTATGGAAGACAAACAAAACGCGGATGTAATTTACACAGATTTCGCAAAAGCTTTTGATAAATGTGACCATGGTGTTATTGCACATAAAATGCGTTCAAAAGGAATTACCGGAAAAATAGGCAGATGGATCTACAATTTCCTGACCAACAGAACCCAATGTGTAATAGTCAACAAAATAAAATCCAGCCCATCAACCGTGAAGAGCTCAGTCCCCCAAGGTACTGTGCTTGCTCCAGTACTTTTTCTCATCCTCATTTCGGACATAGACAAGAACACAACCTATAGCACTGTATCATCCTTTGCAGATGACACTAGGATCTTCATGAGAGTAGGCAACATAGAGGACACGGCGAACCTCCAGTCAGATGTAGAACAGGTCTTTCTATGGGCTACAGAAAATAATATGGTGTTTAACGAAGTTAAGTTCCAGCTCATGCGCTATGGAAAAAATGAAAATATAAAAACGGAAACCACGTACAAAACTCAGGCAAATCATAACATAGAACGAAAAGGCAATGTAAAGGATCTGAGTGTACTCATGTCGGAAGACCTTACCTTTAAAGAACACAATAAAGTAGCCGTCACAACTGCAAGAAAAATGACAGGTTGGATAACAAGAACTTTTCACACTAGAGATGCTATACCGATGATGATACTTTTCAAAACGCTTGTGCTCTCTAGAGTAGAGTACTGCTGCACAATGACAGCACCTTTCAAAGCTAGAGAAATTACTGACCTGGAGAGCGTGCAGAGATCCTTTACTGCTAGAATCCACTCAGTAAAACATCTAAACTATTGGGACCGACTAAAGAGCCTAAAACTGTACTCCCTTGAGCGCAGGCGGGAGAGGTACATAATAATTTACACGTGGAAACATAATAATACATAATAATTTACACGTTCCCGCCTGCGCTCAAGGGAGTGCTTGGGGGAATTCATTTGGCAGTTTTGAGGATTTGGTCTTTTTGAACCAAGCAGTGATCTGTATTATTTACTGATTTACTGAATGCTTTCCTGGTGGGGTGGCAGAGTGTCAACAGGTCTCTGTGCCTCTGTGAAGGGACCAGGTTCTAGCGCTGATCCCCAGTAGGCCAAACAGAACCCTGCAGCTAATGTGACCTTGTAGTTTGTAGCCACCTTGGTTTCAGGGAGCCATCCAGTCTCACCCAGAAAGAGGCATTTCATTACATTCAATGCTGGATTTTTCATGTAGGACATGAAATGTAAGTGACTGATATACAAATCTGAATTAAAAATACAAACTGTGTGCATTACTAATATATTTTAAAACCCTGATTAGTTATTCTTTAAAAACTTGTATTGTTTTCTATATTTACACTTCAGTAAATGATATTTAATAGTATCTGTTATCAATTAATGTTATGTTTTAGAACCTGCATAGTTTGACCAATCATAATGCAGTCCCTGTGGTGTAGTGGTAAGACACTCGCCTGGTGTTTCACGAGCGCTTTGTCCTGGGTTTGTATTCTGGCCGGGGAGGATTTACTGGGCGTCAATCCTTAAATGTAGCCTCTGTTTACTCAACAGTAAAATGGGTACCTGGTTGTTAAACGATTTGTGGGGTCATATTCCAGGGAACATAGGATTAAGAACTTGCCTGAAATGCTATGCGTGCTAGTGGCTGTACAAGAATGTAAGAACTTTTCTATATATAAATAAAAATAAATAAATAAAGTTGTGTTTTTGACAGCAAAAAGAACCAGAGTACACCAAAGTGAGGAGAAAAGGCAGAAGAGACCCTCACGTAGAGAGCACAGGTATGTGGACATTTTCTTCAGGTGTGACATATTAGAAGATTAATGTTTTCATCTTGGTATGGTGTGTGATTGATGATAGGTAATGTTGGGTATATATTGTTTGTCAGCTTATAAATAATATGTCAGCAAGTAATAATTAGCAGCCTTGTTAAAGAGCATGTAACAATAATTTAACTTGCATCAAGCAGGTACTATCACTTAATGGCACAATTAACAGTGTTATAAATACAACAGTTATGAAAAATGTCTTCAAGTTTACCCAATAAGACATTTCTGACAATCTTACTCAATTAGAAGAGTTGTATATTCAGTATATGATAGTTTTTGTGGTCAAAGTTGGTCAGAAATACAGTATTGTTCTTTCTGAGAGTGTGTTTTTATGTGCACACTTTAGCTTCTATAAATATTGCCCCAAATGTCTAATATAATGAGTTTAGTATGTAAGTGTTATTTAGCCCTTGCTATAGAGCTAAGTTACTATGGTCCTCCTTTGCAGAGTCTGACAACCTAGGCAGCACAGACTCTGAAGTGAAAAAAATTCTCTCTCTCCATATGCCCATTAGTGAGTATGATACTTTAGGGAGTGATTCAGAAGGTCCGGGAACCAGAGATTCTCCGCCAACCTTTGCCGAGTCTGCAGGCTTGGCGCATGCTCATATCCATGCCCACCCTGCCCACAGCAGCAGATCGTGTCCTGAGTCTGCTATAAGCCAAATTCGCAGTAGCACTGATATATTCAAACACCGAGTTAGGAGTAGACAACAGGGTAAGTTTGAATTGTTCCAGTGATACATAAACAAAAAAATACAGTACTTGAATGATAATTTGTATTGTGAGCAATAGTAGGTTTTATTTTGTAATTCTGTTATTAAGATTTCAGCTGTTTCAAAATCCTTAAATACCATCCTTATTTGGAGTTTGGATACACATATATATATATATATATATATATATATATATATATATATATATATATATATATATATATATATATATATATATATATATATTGGTCCCCAGGACTATATACAACTGAAAACTCACACCCCAGAAGTGACTCGAACCCATACTCCCACAACTGGTATGTACAGGGACGCCTTAATCCGCTTGACCATCACGACCGGACATAAGGAAGTGATAGCCGAGGCTATATGAACCACTTCCCCGCCGGCACTCGGATGGTAATCTTGGGCATAGCATTTTATCAAATCACCTCATTCTTTGGGGCACACGTGAGGAACACAAATGCAAACAAGCCTGAATGGTCCCCAGGACTATATACAACTGAAAACTCACACCCCAGAAGTGACTCGAACCCATACTCCCACAACTGGTATGTACAGGGACGCCTTAATCCGCTTGACCATCACGACCGGACATAAGGAAGTGATAGCCGAGGCTATATGAACCACTTCCCCGCCGGCACTCGGATGGTAATCTTGGGCATAGCATTTTATCAAATCACCTCATTCTTTGGGGCACACGTGAGGAACACAAATGCAAACAAGCCTGAATGGTCCCCAGGACTATATACAACTGAAAACTCACACCCCAGAAGTGACTCGAACCCATACTCCCACAACTGGTATGTACAGGGACGCCTTAATCCGCTTGACCATCACGACCGGACATAAGGAAGTGATAGCCGAGGCTATATGAACCACTTCCCCGCCGGCACTCGGATGGTAATCTTGGGCATAGCATTTTATCAAATCACCTCATTCTTTGGGGCACACGTGAGGAACACAAATGCAAACAAGCCTGAATGGTCCCCAGGACTATATACAACTGAAAACTCACACCCCAGAAGTGACTCGAACCCATACTCCCACAACTGGTATGTACAGGGACGCCTTAATCCGCTTGACCATCACGACCGGACAAAAGGAAGTGATAGCCGAGGCTATATGAACCACTTCCCCGCCGATAAGCTTTGATAAAATGCTATGCCCAAGATTACCATCCGAGTGCCGGCGGGGACGTGGTTCATATAGCCTCGGCTATCACTTCCTTATGTCCGGTCGTGATGGTCAAGCGGATTAAGGCGTCCCTGTACATACCAGTTGTGGGAGTATGGGTTCGAGTCACTTCTGGGGTGTGAGTTTTCAGTTGTATATAGTCCTGGGGACCATTCAGGCTTGTTTGCATTTGTGTTCCTCACGTGTGCCCCAAAGAATGAGGTGATTTGATAAAATGCTATGCCCAAGATTACCATCCGAGTGCCGGCGGGGAAGTGGTTCATATAGCCTCGGCTATCACTTCCTTATGTCCGGTCGTGATGGTCAAGCGGATTAAGGCGTCCCTGTACATACCAGTTGTGGGAGTATGGGTTCGAGTCACTTCTGGGGTGTGAGTTTTCAGTTGTATATAGTCCTGGGGACCATTCAGGCTTGTTTGCATTTGTGTTCCTCACGTGTGCCCCAAAGAATGAGGTGATTTGATAAAATGCTATGCCCAAGATTACCATCCGAGTGCCGGCGGGGAAGTGGTTCATATAGCCTCGGCTATCACTTCCTTATGTCCGGTCGTGATGGTCAAGCGGATTAAGGCGTCCCTGTACATACCAGTTGTGGGAGTATGGGTTCGAGTCACTTCTGGGGTGTGAGTTTTCAGTTGTATATAGTCCTGGGGACCATTCAGGCTTGTTTGCATTTGTGTTCCTCACGTGTGCCCCAAAGAATGAGGTGATTTGATAAAATGCTATGCCCAAGATTACCATCCGAGTGCCGGCGGGGAAGTGGTTCATATAGCCTCGGCTATCACTTCCTTATGTCCGGTCGTGATGGTCAAGCGGATTAAGGCGTCCCTGTACATACCAGTTGTGGGAGTATGGGTTCGAGTCACTTCTGGGGTGTGAGTTTTCAGTTGTATATAGTCCTGGGGACCATTCAGGCTTGTTTGCATTTGTGTTCCTCACGTGTGCCCCAAAGAATGAGGTGATTTGATAAAATGCTATGCCCAAGATTACCATCCGAGTGCCGGCGGGGAAGTGGTTCATATAGCCTCGGCTATCACTTCCTTATGTCCGGTCGTGATGGTCAAGCGGATTAAGGCGTCCCTGTACATACCAGTTGTGGGAGTATGGGTTCGAGTCACTTCTGGGGTGTGAGTTTTCAGTTGTATATAGTCCTGGGGACCATTCAGGCTTGTTTGCATATATATATATATATATATATATATATATATATATATATATATATATATATATATATATATATATATATATATATATATATATATATATATATACACAAATACTAGACTCACAAATATGTGCAGTCAGGCAACATTAACTTTGTTCAGATTTACAAACCATTATAGTTATTTACAGAATGTACAGAGCTATGTTTTCAAAATCATTAAGATATTTACTAAGTGATATTCCTGTGATTATAGTACACTATAGTGTACTATATAATATACTATATGTACTATATAGTTCACTATATATACTATATATATAGTACACTATAGTGTACTATATAATACACAATATGTACAATATAGTACGCTAGTGTACTATATGTACAATATAATACACTAGTGTACTATATAGATATAATACTAGATAAAGTACGTTTACAATCATAATCCATTCCCAGAGACGCGCCGTCAACCAAAAAACCAAAATGAATTTTCCCATAACAAATAACGTAAATTGAATTAATCCGTTTCACCCCCCCCAAAAATATTAACTTGAAAATACATTTCATACCGAATAACACTCATTTTGTACTAGCTACAATACCGTTCTGTATGTATATCTTACCTTGAATGAGGACTCTAGTTGGTGTATTGAAGACAGTGAGGAGGAGGGGAGGAGAGGTGTTAGTGTTTGGAAGGGGAGTCCTCTTCCATTATAACAGCAGTGATGACATTTCTGGGGTACTCTCTTTCCTACATTTTGCAGGCATACCACTAGGACCTGCTTGTGGCTCACTGCTTGCTTATCTTACTAAGAATCTGTCTAGACACTTGTTTTTCATATGTTTTAACACTTGTCTGTAGTGAGACATCACATTCTCACTATGAATGATTTCTTGTTTTCCCTCTATCATCATCCTCACAACTATTTTCTTAGGTTGAACTTCACCACTGACTTTCTTGGGACCTATGACGTGATATATATATATATATAATAAAAACTTTTATGTTAAAAAAGCAAAAAACCAGCGTTGAATTTAATGAAACTCCATTTTCTGGGTGAGTCCCGGAGGCTCCCCGGCATCCCTCCCTCCTCTGGTTGGCAGTGTTTTTTGCACTCTTCAACATCCAGCCAAAGAACTGAAGGCTGGGTCGCCGGCAGATGGGTCTGGGGCTCCCCCCTTTCCCCTCCCAGGGAGGGGGGAGGGAATTGCGCAGACAGCGGCGCGGTGACATGATGACGTCATGCTAGTTTGTTAATTTTTGTTTAGGGAGTTCTGTCCACCTGTTCAGCCTTCAGTCACAATAATTTTACCAGAATAGGGTTTGGGGCACCTACCTTTCTGGGTGCCTGTCCCAGTCAATGGCAGACATAGAATGCTCCCAACCACAAGGGGGGTCTCTATAGGCCATTGCTTTTCGTGCTGGGGGGGGGGGGGCCAGGTTCTGGCTCGTGGTCCCCGGTAGACAAGAACTCTATCCATTGACTGATGCCAGAAAGATATACATATCCATTCAGCCTGGATAGCTCTGGGGGAGCCGATGGGCTCCCCCCAGAAAAGCAGGCAAACAATGAAATTCTTCACAAAGAATTCAAGCACGGCTGCGATCGTCACTACATGGGATAGACTTGTAAACAAACTGAGATGCCTCGCCTCGCACCCCCAACACTATGTGCTCATTCGACCCATATGTGTACGAACAGACATTGTCTTCCAAGTAAACCCGTCGTATATCAATTCAAATTTTACGACGAATTTGACATCATCAACCAAAAAATTCATACTCTAGGGAACCTGTTAACTGAGGTTCCACAGTATTGCATGTAAAATTTAGAAATACAAATTCAGGCTGAGTGAATATGGGGCAACATTCTGCACCAACACAACACGTCTTTACAAATATCCCTACTGGATCGTGCAGGTGCATGGGAAGCACTGGTGAAATTCTCATTCATGCCACAAGTGATTACAGAACACTCACCCATATTTACTCAAAAGTATTTCCAAGCCCTACTTGGCATCAAAAAGACTGTCAAGTTGTGCTTATATAAAATTGCTAGTTCTTACATGGTTACTCTCCTCGACTGCCATCAAATGGCAACACCCTATGAAACTCTAGGTCCCCCAGCCTCATCTCTATTACAATCTGAAACAAATACAAAAACTCTCCACACAGGAAAATCAAGGGCTCAAGGGAGAAAACAGGAGCATCCAAGTGTCATTTTCAGAAAGTAGTTTTTGATATTCCTTCAAAATGTGATTTTGTACATATTCCACTTAGATGTTTACCAAGGCCAAAATAATTTGGAAGCAGTTATCAAGACAAGAAAACGTGAGAGCAAAAATTTAATGTGCTTTAGAGCCACAGAACAGGAAGAGGTTGGAGAGCTCTCTACAGAACTTGGAGAGCCGTCCAAGTGCACACTTTGGCCCTGTAGCCAGGAAATCCTTGACAGGTATATGGTATTGAAGGTGTGGACGAATTGCCAGAAGCCTCAAGCTCAGATGTCAGAATAGAACATCTATGAGGAGTTTCAAGCTTATGAAGATCATTTACCTGGCAGTACACATGTATCTGACTAGAGGCCTGGGAATAATGACATAAAGACAATAAAGAACAGTATGATAAATATGATCGCCCTTACAATAAACAAACCAGGCCTTAGGTAAGATAGGACCATATCAGACTGAAAAGGTCCCAACTTTAGTCATTATCAGGTAATCTGTTGTTAGGATGGAAGCAGACAAACATGTCATTTATAACAGGTGATGAGCATAAAAGTGTAGAAACCAGTTCATTGCCTTCAGCCAGACAAAACCCAGGGAAAATACCTTACAGGCAAAGCTTAGCCAGTCTAGAAGTCTCAAGATTCTGATGGGATAGGTAGTGCAAACTCATGATCAACTTATGCAGAATTATATGAACATGTTTGCTGATGATGCTAAGTAGCTAAGCTACTAGAGATGATAAAAGACTTAAACGACTGTCATGCCCTTCAAGATGACCTAGACAAAATAAGTGTATGAAGCAACACTTGGGAAATGGAATTCAACGGAATTCTGAGCATCATATGACAGAGTACTGGGAAGATGGGACACCATGAGCATGTCTTTCATCCTGTAACTACACTCGGATAATTACACTCTGCTAATTACAAAACGTCTTACAATGTGTGACATTGTGAAGACTGCAGTTGGGATTTTGGCTCATTGATCAAAAAGTTAAACTTACCTAACACCCTAGTTAAGAATCTTGAGATAACAGGCAAAGCCTCTGACTAAGAATTCAGATGAACCAATTGTCGAGGTAGACCGAAGACACTGATATCTTGGAGACTTAGGTCCCAGAAGACTACCCATGTAAATCAAGAAAAATGATCTTGGGAGTCAGATTTAGCCCAGATGGTAAAGCACATAAGTGGTAAGAAGTGTGACCTATCCTGAAGCCTGCCAGTTCCTGAACCTCAGATAAATGGCCACATACCAATAGGCATCCTCAGATTCCAGGAAAATATCCCCAGTATGAGATAAGATTACCTTACAAATCACTGACAAGATTGTCATGCAGGTATCAATCCCTGACAAATCTAGGATCACTGTCTTTTATTAAGAAATGTTTTCACCAGTGGAAAGAGCTAAGATGAAATAGAAAAGAATGTGTTACATCAGTCCTTGTCCAACTTCTTGTGAATAACCTAACCCACACATATGAAAGTGGTGATGTTTCGGTCCATTTTGGACCCTCATCAAGTTGTGAATGTGAGCATTAAAGATGGGGTAGGACAGGGGGCCATTAAGGGAAGGCACCCACTACCAGTTTGCCTACTTGGGTATCTGGACCAACTACCTCCAAGAAGCAGCAATACGCAATCCTCCGGGTTCTCACGCCTGAGAAGGCCCATAAGCTGCTCCATAAGAATAGCTAAACACTCCTGCTATGAAACCAGATTTAAAGTAACAATAGGAAACATGAAAAGCACATGGGGAAACCATCTCATATATCCTGGTCCAGTCAGCACTCGAGTAACAACAGATTAAATGCACCAACGACAGTAATACTCTGGCTACAGATTTAGAAACTGTAATGACTTCAATATCTTCTTTTCATCCATTGGGGTTAGCCTTGCTGGGAATATTCCTGAGGCCCAGACAAATGTAATTACATATCTCATTGGAAGGTAACCTAGCACTATTATTCAGTGAATTACTAAGTACAGTGGAACTTCGGCTTACGAATGCCCCTATTTAAGAATTTTTTGAGTTACGATCTCAGTTTCTTTGTAAAATTTGATTCGGCTTACGAACTTTGCCTCAAATTGTGAGTTTGTTGATACATGTATGGGTCGACCGAGCACGTGGTTCCTGGTGGAAAGGGCGACAGCGACTCAGTTCAACAGTGCCTCCCGCGTAGTGAGTCTCGCACGTGACTTGTTTGTAAAGAATTTCATTGCTTTTCAGCATTTTTTATTTCTAAACATAAAAGTAAATATTATATACCACACCATGGGTCTCAAGAAAGTCAGTGGTAAGGTTCAACCTAAGAAGACAAGGATAACCGTAGAAGAAAAACAAGTCTCTATGGAAAGGTTCTTAGTGAGACAAACAAGCAGTGAGCCACAGCCAGGTCCTAGTGGTATGCAGGCAAAACGTAGGAGAAAGAGGGAGTACCCCAAAGAAGTCATCACTGCCTGGTATTATAATGGAAGGGAGACTCCCTTTCCAACACTAACACCTCTCCTCCTCCACCCTTCCCCCCCTCTTCCCCCCCACCGTCCTCCATGCGCCAACAAAAGTCATTAATAAAGGTAAGTTAAAACTTGTACATACTTTAGTATAAAATATTTGTGTTTATTATGTATGAAATGTTCAGTATTTTCAAGTTAATATTTTTGGGAGTATGGAACGGATTAATTCAACTGACATTCTTATGGGAAAATTCGTTTTGGGTTATGAATTTTTGGGTTACGAGTCGTCTCTGGGAACAGATTAAATTCATAAACGATGGTACCACTGTACTGTACTACAGTGCTGCAATATTGCATAGACTTTTTTGTAGCACAAGTGCTAGTTTGTTATTATTCTTGACTATGCATTATTCTGGCCTTGAAACGCAGCAGACCTCACCTTAGTTATCTGCTAAATGATCCACTCAGGAAAGTTTTTCATATAGCTCAAAACATAATTTATATTTTTTATTTACAATTAAATCTAGAACTGACTATTTACTACAGTACTTGGTATTATTCTCTCTGAATTTTTCTTATCAACCTCCATTCATCCTAACAGAACCTATTAAGTCCCAAGAGAACAGCAGCTCATCGACCGACACGTCTAGTTCAGGTCGACGAGCACACCCGAGGAGGGGCAAGAAATCCACTAAAAGACAGAGCCGCTCTGCTTCACGCACAGGCTTTGAGGAAACTTCTTTCAGGTATGAGTTATAGTGGTTAATTTGATTTAGATTTATTTTCTTGACTCGTTGACAATTTTTGACATCCAGGCTCTTGATCACTTAAATTACATTACAATTCATAACCTTAGTACAATATATGTACTTACATGCCCATTAATGTCATCTGGTACGATATCAACATTTAACTTTCTTGTTTTTCTTTTGCAAATTTCTTCTTTGCTCTTGTCAGTAAGAGAAGGTGTATGTAAATTCTCATTTTGTTCTTAAACCTTTCAGCCCTTCATTTTGAAAACATACTAATTATTATTATTATTTTGTGTGTTCATAAAACAATGCTTTGATACAAACATTATATAAAGGGAACAAATATTTGTCTTAAGGGTCTTAGAACTTGAATGTAAACAATTGAGGCATTATATTCTTTGATTAATGTCTTGCAAACTTATATAAAAAATAATTTCCATGGAAAATAATCTTACCTGATGGATGTACAAATTTGTCAAACGTTATTAATTTAAGTAAAATATATATAATTTTTAGTAGAATACGTTTCTTCTGTGTTATAGTCTTCTGAACATATAATATTAATTATTAATGTACCTCATGTATGCTGTGTATGTATATATGCATTAATTATTCAGTCATTCATTATCATTACTGTACCCTATTCTCCACGTGTGTGAGGCGGGCCATGCTTACTTAGCCCAGAGATAAATGGGGAATAATATGGTATATACATTACGTATGTATTATAATTTCCAGGGTGATGTAATGCTTCCCAAATAAACACATTATATTTATCATAATATTACATGTAATGATAATGAGTTAATTGCACATGCATGTGTTTTTATATTCATTAGTATGCATTTGTATGTGTGTGTGCTTGCAGGTTCTCATTTATGTGTGTATATGGGTGCATTATTCATGTATGCATGCATGTATACATGGGGTGCATTGTTTGTGTGCGTGCGTGCATGCGTGTCTTGCCTCTTTTTAAAGGGGCGGGTAGCATGTTAGGAACAGGGATCAACTAACTGCTGAGGCTAATCCACTCACAAAGGAGTCACAAAACACTATTACTCAAGGAAAAAAATTTTGAAAATGCAATTTTCTCCAAACTCTGGCCCATCAAACCCTTATCAAACAACTTGCCACCTAACCCTTACTCCTGCCACCAGGAGGCGCCCCAATCCACTCGGGGTACCAGTGAGGCGAACCCCTCTCTCTCTCGCCTGGTGCTGTCTTCAACGCCTGGGACCACTGCTTTATCGTTCAGATAAGTGGGCTAGCCTTCCTTTTGGATTTTAGTCCTAACGTTATAGGTACATGCTGTTAACGTTTTACGTGCATGTATGCTAGTCTCATTCCGTATTCCTTGCTATTTGCATCACTTTGGCTCTCATTTCAGGGTTCCCTTCCCTGGCAGTGCTAGTGAAGACTGATCACCACCCGAGTTTTTCTTCTTTGAGGTTTTCGGGGGTTCCACTTTTAGAAAAATTCCTGTTAAGTCAACACTATCCCAGATAGTGGTTTGAGACTTATTGAAACAAGACCTGTTAAACTGAGGCTATAGTAGTTAGTGTGCAGTCGTACTTTTATATACTGGTGGTGTTTACCTTCTGTGGGGGGGGGGCAGGATCCAGTACCATGTGGTGTTAGTTTGTGTTTGAGCAGCAGCAGTGTACATTTGCTTCTGCCTGGTGATTTTACCCATTATATCATTCTATACTACCTTCCTAGTTTTTGTTGTGCATAAGGAGGTTTTGGTGGATCTTGTTCTTGTCTAGAGTTTTGTCCCCGAGATATAGAACTTTCGGCTCCGTGGGTTTTTCTTTCTCAGTTTGGGCTTTATCCTACTTGACGTCTCTCCGATGTTTACAGATTCTGGTAGGTAATTCAGTTTAATCTCTGTTCCATTAATTTTTTCAGATTCATTTCATTTTTTATTCCTAGGCAGCTCTTGCTGCTGTTTTGAGTGAGGCTGGGGTCAGAGTTTCTGTATTGGCGCAATTCTGTCGGAGTTTCTATGTGTTCTTTGCATGGGGCCCTGCTTTCCAGACTGTGCTTAGGTGGTGGTTTCCTTCAGTTCAACTGGTATGTTTGGGCCACAAGCAGTTTCTGTTTTTGTTTACCCATTTAACCTTTAAGTCTTGTTGTTTTCTGTCCTTTTACATTCCAGAACCTGCTCCCTTGTTTCCTTGTTGTATTTGTCTGGGAACCATATATGATCCCTCCATGATCCCTCTTCATCTTGGGATGGGGTGAGGGAATTTCTGTTTTTTCTTTGAGGTTTCTTCAAGTTCGTTTAAGTGTACCCCGTGTTGTGCATGACTTCTCTCTCATTTTCTATGCTTTGCAGTCAGGCAGTCATCACCTATACTGTATTTGGTTGATGTGGTTGTTTACATTCTCAGAGGGCACTACTGTGCTCAGCTGTTGGCACTTTGTTCATTTGGTGCCTCAGCTCACTATGAGTGTCTTGGCCAGACAGGATGATGCCTGTTTGTGCCCCACCAGGATATCCCGGCCCACCAGGAGGAATGCCGTGACTCATCAGGATAAGTGTCTGTTTTAGTTGATGATCCTGGGAGTACTTCCACTAAAGTTTGGTCAGGAGGAATTGATTCTGGAGTTTTCCCTGACTTTCCCAAAAGAACCCTTTGAAGGGTTTGGGGAAATTATCCATGGCATGCATGAGGACCTTGGTTTCTATTTTGTTCTGGCTTTTAAATATCAGGTCAGAAGAGATTTTTCTTAGGATAGGGGGATTTCATGTATTGTATCTGCATTCCCAGTTTGAGCTCAATTCCTCTTTGAATACCTCCTCAATTGCACATTTTTATTCTGTTTGCAAGAAGGATTATTCTCTTGTTGTGCAAGTTCTTGCGGTGCATCTTACTTTCTAGTCAGGTTTGGTGGGACATCTTGTTGTTCCTGCTGCAAGATGGGTCATACTTCTGATCTTACTTTTTTTTTATCTCTTCAAGTTTGGGACCTCTGCCGCTTCCAGAATGCAGTATCACATTCCTCACTTCCTCCTCTCTTTGGGGAAGAAAGAGTATGAATTCCAGAAAAATTTATTTTATGCATACAAAAATAAATTTTTATGCATCTTTATCTGAGGCTTTGGCAGTTTCATTTATATGTTTCTTAATGCTGATAGCTTTGATTATAGTTAATTTCAAGGCCCATTCTTGTCCAGCAGATTTATTTACTATTTTTCTGTACACAAGTTATATGCTATATGACTACAAAATGAACGTTCTATTTTGAGTGTCTTTGCCAGCCTTGATTGCTGCCTTACCTCTCTTAAAGGAACTACCGGTACTGTACTTAAATTGTTTGTGCCATTTCTCATTGACTCTGTCAGATTTAGTTGTGGAATTCTTGCTTTCAGACAAGCTTCTTTGAGTCAGTTCCGGGAGGTCACTTAGATGCTTTCATCTTTCATGGGAAAAATGTGGATCAGGTTCTGATTGCTATCATGAGAGAGGCTATCTAACCACTATATCTTGTGTTTTGGTAGAATCCATATTCCACTCACTCCCAGGTACTATTGTCTTTTATGCGTCTCCACTGGTTAGGTCTCATTCGGGAGATTAGGGCAGCCTGTATCACACTGTTGGAGACAACTCTATGTCTGTTGGCTCTATATATGGTTTTAAGAAAATGCCAGCTTTCATGTTAGGTTTTTGAGTGACCTAATCAGATATATTAGTTCTGCCTATATCGTCTACCTAATGGGTTAGGCTTCACCGAAGGCTTTGAAGGCTTTGAACTGCTTTTTTTCTGTCAGTGGCCTGTTTCTGGCACCGTAAGTATGGTTTTTACTTCTGTTACTTAGAATTTCACTTTGATAGTAGGTTCCTCGTTGGATTTATTGGGATTCAGTTCCTTGGAGTCTTATGCAGCCATTACTCAAATTATTCACTATGGGTTTGGGCTTTGTGTTTGATCACTGCCATACTTGCCAGAGTTGACAGTCTTGAATAAACTAGGAGATGTTCGTAGTATGGAATGTGTTGAAAAGTATTTATCTTTCTGCATCCAAACAGTACTTAGTAGATTCACTACCTCTATTGTGGTGTCTCATTTCAATCTCTGCCACAAATTATCTCTCTCCTAAATATTTGGCCTCTAGTTCTAACATTGATTCACATTCTTGAGGGATTTTGAAAGTTCTCATGGGTTGTCTCTTGTTTCCATATCATTTGAACTGAATTGTAGGTAGATGAAGTCTCCTTAGGTAAGCAAAACTTTTGGCATACCCCAAGTAGATCTGTTTGTGTCCATTGGGAATTTGAGTTATATTGTAATGTCTTCAGATTGTATGGCTTGCATTGGATGCACTTTGTCTCAAATGAAGCCAGTGAGAAACAGTCTACAGTAGTTATTTAATCCAATCTGATTTTGGTCCATAATGGTATAATTGGAGAGTTGTCAACTGCATATGTATTTTAGGTCCACTGCGGCTGGTCGATCCCCGATCCTATACAATATACTGTACATTCATTGTCCCCATCCAACTCCATCAGCTACTGGATATAGATGTGGATTCTTCCAAGCTCTTTTCCAATCTACATGTGTGGAGTATTTAGGCTGAATCTGGCACTGTATGTATGGAGACCAAGTGGCAGAAAAATTCTTGTCCACTAGCTTCAAGATTCCTCCAGTTGCCTTAATGATGGGGTGTGGTTTTCGTTCAAGAGGTTTCTGGCTGTTAGCCACTCATCTCTAATGTCAATTTCTTTGATTATATTTTTCCTGACCTGGTTTTTGCCTTCATGTCACCTTATTCTTAGCACAATTTCATATAATTTGGAAAAAGGAATGTCAGTGGTCCATGCTGAACTTCTTGGTTTCAGGGAGAAGCTATATTTTGCCTCGGGAAGCAACTGAATGACCGGCTCAGAAAGGAGGGTTTAATTTACACTTAACGCCTTACATTTTATCAATAGAGTGGTGGAAGGTTAAAATAGATTTGTTCATCAGGTTAAAATAAGTTTCGGAAGGCTGTGTGTGCTGTAACCACTGGTAGCTTTATAATTATTTACAATCAAATTTACAAAGAAGACAGATGTCACATGCTTAGCTTTACAATACAGTACTAGATGATAATACTGTACCACAAAATTTTGGATAAAAGAAAGAGGTGGTATAAATCTAGCTTAGCTCCTGTTACTTCAAATGGGTAATCTCTTGCAAAAAAATTAGTGTGTGTGGATGAGTGAGGAATAAATATTTGTATATTCATTATTCTATTTTATGTACAAGTGAGATGAACTTGCAGAAATGAAATTTCTTCTATTAATGCAAGTGTGTATACATGAAAAGGAAATTTTGTTTCATGCTGTCTGGGAATATTTGGCATTTTAAAACTTTGTTACATCGTCATAAGATTCACAAATGGCACAGCAGCTTTCACAGCACCTAAAAATATGGAAAATATCAGTAAGCAATTTTACCCCTCAACATGCGGCAGTCATCCAAATTGTCACCTCACCTGTGCGGATAAAATAATTTGTTCTTATAGAATGGTAAACTCGCATGTAAAAAGTAAGGAAAAGGCCCCACCTAAAAAAGTATACTTACATCTTGTGGTTTTGTAAGGTGTACATGGTAGCCATTTGGTGGGGCGAGTGTGAGCGTTAACACTGGATGCGTGCTGTAGTTTACCGAGACAGGCTACACTGGGAGGAATAAAAATGTTTTTCTTTGATGGCTTTTATGTTTGTTACTTCACTAATTAATTTGCATAATGTAGTATGTTTCAAATAGCTTGGCTTAAGTACACTACATATAATTGACAAAAACAGTGATTGAGTGCCATATTTAGGCCTATGATATAATATAAACACACAAACCTATTTCTGGCACAGTTCAAAGAAAGTCTTACAACCTGCTCCTTTTCTTGAATTCTGTCTGGAAATGTTTACAAGTCAACATTTAGCATACAGTAGATGGCATATAAAATAAGACATTCGATAACATGATTCATCATGTACATTTATATACAAACCATAATGGCCAACATATTTAATAATTTGTGTAATTAACTAACAATATTCATTGACCATGGATAATGTGTCTTCTGAAACATCCTGTATTATAATCATATTTGTCATTGGTAATATAACTGGGCACTAATAATGAGAATCAGCAAATGACAATAATCGCAGTGCTCCAGTCCATCAGATGACGATGACCGCATGTTGGGGGTTAACCCAATATTATGCTAAATAAGATTTTATTTTCCAAGAATCCAGCAAACTACTGTACAAGATGTCCCCAACTTGTGAACAGGATGCATTCAGAAAGGTATAAAAACTAGAGGCGGCGGCAATGAAAGGCGGCGATGCATGGGCACTGGTGAACCATCAGTGCAAGTCTTCTTGTCAGTCATTATTGAGGCATTTTCCTCTATAAACTGAAATAGTGCATTATAAATGCAACTTCAGAAATGGGTTGTATAGTAGAACATAGGGCTAAAATGGGAGTTTTGAGCCTGTTCATACGATTGGATGTTCATAAGTCAGGGACTTTCTGTACTGTATAGGGAAGTGCCTGTATGTCTCACAGACTTTTCAGTAAAATATTTCTGCAGATTTGTTTAAATTGTGCTATATTTTGTGTGGGTGTGTGTGTCAGTCATTTATAATATGATATAAATAGTTGTCATTCATTCTTCAATTTTTTTATTTAAATATTTCTTTCAAGAATCTTGACACAGCTATTGCCTTTTTTATTACATATTTCACCCGCTGATTCTTGCTTTATAAAATCTCATGCTACCATTAATGCTGGGATTGACTTCTGTTCGGTTCGACAATTCTCTCTCAGGCCAATCAAGTGAGCAGGTTGCCTGGAGGTGTGGAGGAGGCCGGCTGTGTGGGCGTGAGACGGGCCTGGGCGAGGTCAGTGCCTCCTCCCTCTTGACTCCTCAAACTACTACTCCTCTTATTGTAATTCCTACCTCACTGCTCTTTTTGTTTTTTGTTTTTCACTTGAATCCCAAACCCCTTCTCATTTGCAGCACCAGTGACATTTTTCTTTTATGGAAAGTCCCCACTTTATATGTTCTCTTCACTTGTTCACCTATTAACTGGTATTCACAGAGCTCTTGTTACAGTGCACCAAACCCAACACATCCACCACCACAATTATTGAACTATCCATCATCTTTGTTGCTTCTTAATATATTACTCAAACATTTACCTCTCATTGATTAACACAAAATCTGTGTTACCTCATCTGGTAAGGATATGCAAACGTATTACCGTATTTGCCCGCGTTTAAGATGCACTTAATTTATAAGGACATTTTATGGAAAAATATTTTATAATGTTCCATCATACATTTATTGAAAGTGATGTTCAAGTTGTTTTACTGGGGAAACACATGATTTTGTGCATGTAAAACAGTATACTGTATACTGTACTTGGTGGTGGACGGAAAACATGCGTCCTTTCTGCCGACAAATACGGTATGTTTCCTTTCATCGTATATCATTATCCTTCTCAGAAATGCATGTTAGTTTGTTTATTGGAACCTCTAGCACTTAGTCACACATGTTATTAGTCATATACTTTTACTGTTCGTAGTTCAATAATATACACAGTCCATTTCTCTCCTAATTACTATTCTTGAAATGTATATTAGTTTCTTCAGTATTGTGAGACCTGGTCACAAACCTCACTGCATCAGAGTACGTGCAGTACTTCACCATGCCATACATTGTCACAAAGAGCCACCCCCCTCAATGTTTCTCCCAACAACATGCATGATATGGCTGTATGAGTCCCAGCAATTGTACTCTGATGGATGCATCCACTTTGTATGTTTTATGTCACATTTCCCCAGTTGATGGGTAAAGCTACTGTACAGTACTTTATTTAATAGTTCTGCATTGCTATTGGCATTTTTTCCATGTTCTGCTGATCAGTTTTCACCATTAAATTATATATTGTAAGTTTGTGTTATTTAAGCTCATGGAAATGTTTACTTAGAAGAGGGGTTTATATTTTTTACACTATTCACACAATTATTCCCACTTAAAATATTCATATACTGTTTGTTAATGTAATAGCTGAAGGTAATTTGGTAGTTGAATTGAGCAGCCAAAGGTAATTTAATTTAATGAAATATAAAATGCATTGCTTCAGTCACTATATTCTTTGATGTTTGCCACTGTTACCCCGAGCTGCTGCATTTGGTAGCCTTCTACAATAAAATGTGCTGTCTCGCTCTAGACAAGGATCATGAACAGTCAGGCAGGAGGCATTCATGGCACCAGCACCACAGGGAACTTTTCACACAGTTCTTGCAGGGGACACTAATGGTACTAGGGGTCACTAGAGCCACAGAGGTGCATTCCACGTAAACTAAAAGCTGCGAGAGAGATATTTCCTGTAATCACTTGTGTTTAAGCAAGGTTCTGTAGCTAACAGCCCATTACTTATGAATCTTCTGCTGCCACCAGATGACAGCTCTTACTATAATATGGTCTCTGGGCTTCCTACTCGTCATATTCATCCTAACTGCATACAACGTAGGGTAAGCAGGATGGGACCAGAGTTATGCACATCTCTTTTATAGTGGGAGAATAAATAAACATTGGCTTATTCTTTTATCATAATAACATTTCACATGTTAGTATAAAGGCAAGTATTTGTGTGTCTGTGTATTGATTATCCAGTTTGCCCAATGTTACACAGCAGTGGCCAAGCTCTCAAGAGCGTCCCTACTTCCATTATGGTGGCTCTTATACATAGTACCATAGGTGTTTGTAGCTGTGCATTGATATTGATCCTTTGCTTTTTACATCCTGTGTAGCATGCAGACTATTTTGGTATCCCTAGATCTTGCTTAGGCCACTGACTTGGTTTCTCTCCCCATCTGGGTTTCTCTCTTGTCAGTAGTAAACAAGACAAGGTTAAAGTAAGCCAAGAAGCCTGCACCTTTGCTCAAACTCTTGCTTGCAAACTAGGTTTGGCAAAATGACTTGGCAATTTAACAAGTGGTAAAACTATGCCTGGTGAGCTATATTAAGGGTGACAAATTAAATTTATTGACCCTGTCTTCTTCATTCCCTGCTAGGTACAAGGTCATTTTCACCATTGTCATGTGGGTAGATGCCTTGTTCAAGCCCTTGTCTCTGTGTACATTACATGCTCAGGGTTTGAGTGTTAAAATATCATCTCTGGTGCTTCCAGTTAAAAGTTTTTACTACCTCATCATAGGAGTCTCTTCATTTTTATGGGATCTTGTTCTTTTGTTGACTCATCTCTCAGTTACCCTTTCAAGACATGCCATTCGAAGTTATATCTTGGATGCTTCACCATCAGGTGCTTTGTTTCACGGGTTCATTTGCAAAGCACCCGGATTTCCATTTTTTACCTTTAATTGTGGGGCCCAGAGGCTTCAAGTTTTCTTCATGTAGATGGGCAGAGGTATGAGGATGAAAGCTGGAGGTATAGTACCACCATTTTTCATTGAAGCTTCTGTTGGAACTTCTGATCTCCCCTTCTTTTCTTTAGATGGTTGGCTCTGTGTTTGCTGTGTTAACAGGAGGCTTCTCTTATCGGATTGCTTCCTGTCATCACATCTAAAACAGTATTGCTTCTGCTCCAACTCCATTGGCAGAGTACTGAGGCAGGCTCTTCCTCTCCTCTGGTCATTGTGATACTCATATCTGAAGCGTTGAATGAGGATTTGGGTTTTTACTTTCTCTCTTCATGGACTTGGGTTACTAACCATGATGATGTCTAGCTGCAGGTGGATGGCTTATTGTATCCTCCTTTGCACCTTCTGGTAGAATGATTTTTATTTAAGTCTTAAGAACAGTTTGTTATGCACAAAGGAATATTAACCGGCTCTTGTGTGTCCTTTGTTTTATCTGCTTACTGTTTTGAATGAAACCTTTATCAATTGTAGTCTGGGTTTGTGGCTGTTGTCTGGCAATAATACTGAGCCATGATTCCTCCTGGCTTGTGAACAATATCTTATTATAGTGGTACCTCAACTTATGAATCTAATCCGTCCCAGAGACAGGTCGTAACTCTAAACAAATTTTCCCGTAAGAAATAATGTAAATTGAATTAATCCATTCCACACTCCCATAAATATTAACTTCAAAATACATTTCATATATAATACACACACACATATTTTGTACTATAGTATGTACAAGTTATAGCTTACCTTTATTGATGACTCTTGTTGGCATATGGAAGACAGTGAGGAGGGGAAAAGGAGGAGGAGAGGTGTTAGTGTTTGGAAGGGGAGTCCCCTATCATTATAAAATCAGGCAATGATGACTTTTCTGGGGTACTCTCTCTCCTACATTTTTGCCTGCAGACCACTAACTAGGACCTGGTTGTGACTCACTACTTGCTTGTCTTACTAAGAATCTGTCTAAAGACACTTGTTTTTCCCTACATTTTAAAACTTGTCTGTAGTGAGACTGTCACAATGTCATTCAAAAGGTCAATGTAACGGCCTGCTACAGCTTTATTTGGGTGAGTTTTTTAACAAAACTTTGCAGTTCTACCCATACTTCATACATTTTCTTAATGAGGAAAGGACATCCTCTACTGCCTCTACTCACAACTATTTTCTTAGGTTTAACCTTACCACTGACCTTCTTGGGACCCATGGCATGATATATAATAATTACTTTTATGTTCATAAC